TTGGTACAAATTATAGCAAAATTACAGAAAACTCAAAATATGGACAATTTTATGTTAAAGGGATCTTGAATTCTTTTAACAGCTTCCGAGATACTAATTTTTAACCTTTTTTTGGTTGGACCAAATCACTACTTTACTTTAAAATTCATAACCCTAATTTTTTGCAGTGTAGTTTCATCCCCCTACATGCTATTTGAGGCATAAAACATGAAGAAATAAATTTGAAAAGGGTATTAAAAAATATAGCAAGTAACACACTGTCCACACTAGGGACTATATTCGTAGACAACGAAAATGAAAGGACGATAACTGTGTTCCCGGACCAATATTGACTATGGTTACATCTGGTCACCTTACACCGCTGTTGATATATTGACTTAGGTTACCTCTGGTCACCTTGGACACATATTGACTATGTTCACCTCTGGTCCAGTTACAATGATGCTCTGGTCACATTACACACTCATTTAATTTGGTTACCACTGGTCACCTTGTACATATATTCACTATGTTGACCTCTGGTCACCTTACAATAATGCTCACATAACACAATCATTCACTTTGGTTACTTCTGGTCACCAAACACATATATTACTGTTAGTTACCTTGGGTCATCTTACACAGATATTGACTAAAATTTCCTCCGGTCACCTTACACAGATATAGACGTCGGTTTTCTCTTGCCACCTTATTAACAAACATGTTTATTTTGTTTACCTCTGATTTCCTACTAAATATATTTATTTTTGTTACCTCTAATCACCTTACACTCATATTGACGTTGGTAACCCTGGTCACCTTACATCTGTATGTACTTTGGTTACCTGCGGTCACCTTGGACATCTCTTGACTATGTTTACCTCTGGTCACCTTACAATCATGTCCTGGTCACATTACACACGTATTCAGTTTGGTTAACTCTGGTCACCTAACACATATATTGACGTTGGTTACCTCGGGTCATTTCAACTAATAGGCCGGAGAACACAGTTATTTCGTACTGCATTTCTTTTAGACAATAAATGAAAATTCAAAAAATCCCACCTTCGCTTTCTCAATAATATTTTTACAGTGTGGTGTACTACTTTTGGGACAAATTATAGCAAAATTACAGAAAACTCAAAATATGGACAATTTTATGTTAAAGGGATCTTGAATTCTTTGAACAGCTTCCGAGATACTAATTTTTAACCTTTTTTTGGTTGGACCAAATCACTACTTTACTTTAAAATTCATAACCCTAATTTTTTGCAGTGTAGTTTCATCCCCCTACATGCTATTTGAGGCATAAAACATGAAGAAATAAATTTGAAAAGGGTATTAAAAAATATAGCAAGTAACACACTGTCCACACTAGGGACTATATTCGTAGACAACGAAAATGAAAGGACGATAACTGTGTTCCCGGACCAATATTGACTATGGTTACATCTGGTCACCTTACACCGCTGTTGATATATTGACTTAGGTTACCTCTGGTCACCTTGGACACATATTGACTATGTTCACCTCTGGTCCAGTTACAATGATGCTCTGGTCACATTACACACTCATTTAATTTGGTTACCACTGGTCACCTTGTACATATATTCACTATGTTGACCTCTGGTCACCTTACAATAATGCTCACATAACACAATCATTCACTTTGGTTACTTCTGGTCACCAAACACATATATTACTGTTAGTTACCTTGGGTCATCTTACACAGATATTGACTAAAATTTCCTCCGGTCACCTTACACAGATATAGACGTCGGTTTTCTCTTGCCACCTTATTAACAAACATGTTTATTTTGTTTACCTCTGATTTCCTACTAAATATATTTATTTTTGTTACCTCTAATCACCTTACACTCATATTGACGTTGGTAACCCTGGTCACCTTACATCTGTATGTACTTTGGTTACCTGCGGTCACCTTGGACATCTCTTGACTATGTTTACCCTTTGGTCACCTTACAATTATGTCCTGGTCGCATTACACACGTATTCAGTTTGGTTAACTCTGGTCACCTAACACATATATTGACGTTGGTTACCTCGGGTCATTTCAACTAATAGGCCGGAGAACACAGTTATTTCGTACTGCATTTCTTTTAGACAATAAATGAAAATTCAAAAAATCCCACCTTCGCTTTCTCAATAATATTTTTACAGTGTGGTGTACTACTTTTGGTACAAATTATAGCAAAATTACAGAAAACTCAAAATATGGACAATTTTATGTTAAAGGGATCTTGAATTCTTTTAACAGCTTCCGAGATACTAATTTTTAACCTTTTTTTGGTTGGACCAAATCACTACTTTACTTTAAAATTCATAACCCTAATTTTTTGCAGTGTAGTTTCATCCCCCTACATGCTATTTGAGGCATAAAACATGAAGAAATAAATTTGAAAAGGGTATTAAAAAATATAGCAAGTAACACACTGTCCACACTAGGGACTATATTCGTAGACAACGAAAATGAAAGGACGATAACTGTGTTCCCGGACCAATATTGACTATGGTTACATCTGGTCACCTTACACCGCTGTTGATATATTGACTTAGGTTACCTCTGGTCACCTTGGACACATATTGACTATGTTCACCTCTGGTCCAGTTACAATGATGCTCTGGTCACATTACACACTCATTTAATTTGGTTACCACTGGTCACCTTGTACATATATTCACTATGTTGACCTCTGGTCACCTTACAATAATGCTCACATAACACAATCATTCACTTTGGTTACTTCTGGTCACCAAACACATATATTACTGTTAGTTACCTTGGGTCATCTTACACAGATATTGACTAAAATTTCCTCCGGTCACCTTACACAGATATAGACGTCGGTTTTCTCTTGCCACCTTATTAACAAACATGTTTATTTTGTTTACCTCTGATTTCCTACTAAATATATTTATTTTTGTTACCTCTAATCACCTTACACTCATATTGACGTTGGTAACCCTGGTCACCTTACATCTGTATGTACTTTGGTTACCTGCGGTCACCTTGGACATCTCTTGACTATGTTTACCTCTGGTCACCTTACAATCATGTCCTGGTCACATTACACACGTATTCAGTTTGGTTAACTCTGGTCACCTAACACATATATTGACGTTGGTTACCTCGGGTCATTTCAACTAATAGGCCGGAGAACACAGTTA